ATAACCTGGGTTAGGTTAGGACATAACCTGGGTTAGGTTAGGAATTCACCTCTAACATCCCTATGTCCTAACCTAACCTAGGTTATGTCCTAACCTAACCTAGGTTATGACTTAGACTAAAAATGGGACATAACCTGGGTTAGGTTAGGACATAACCTGGGTTAGGTTAGGAATTCACTTTTAACATCCCTATGTCCTAACCTAACCTAGGTTTTGTCCTAACCTAACCCAGGTTATGTCCTAACCTAACCTAGGTTATGACTTAGACTAAAAATGGGACATAACCTGGGTTAGGTTAGGACATAACCTAGGTTAGGTTAGGACATAACCTGGGTTAGGTTAGGAATTCACTTTTAACATCCCTATGTCCTAACCTAACCTAGGTTTTGTCCTAACCTAACCCGGGTTATGTCCTAACCTAACCTAGGTTAAGACCTAGACTTAAAATGGGACATAACCCAGGTTAGGTTAGGACATAACCTGGGTTAGGTTAGGAATTCACCTCTAATTTCATTATGTCCTAACCTAACCTAGGTTATGTCCTAACCTAACCCAGGTTATGTTCTGTACCTAACCTAGGTTAGGTTAGGAATTTAGCTTTCATATCCCTTTCGTAACCTAACCTGGGTTAGGTTAGGATCTAGGTTACCTCTAAACTCCCTAACCTAACCATACTCGAATTTTTGTCCAATTCAACACTGTTTGAAACTTTTAGGGGTTGTTGTACAAAATTTAAGTTAGACACAGCACCGGTATTTATTTTTTATTTAACAAACCTATGGCAGTTATAGAGTCAAACTATAAACTGTTTTTGCTTTGTACAAGACACTCAAATCCTCGCAAATTAACAGTATAAATATTTTGACATTTTTCACCTAACTTAAAATATTGCAACATATCACATTTTATGTTTTAGGGGAAAGTCTGAGACAACACAGAACAGGAGGTAGAATTCGACTAAGATGAGAGAGGAGCAGGGTTGAGACTAATTACGTCATTTAATCATTATGACTACTTGGACCAGTCACCAAATTTGGAGAAAGCTCATTTCATTTTTAACTGACAAACTGGTTAACAGAGTTAACAAGACCCTGTACTGTGCAGCGCACATTAATAGGGGTAGGCTCATGTTGGGAATAACAATGACAAAAATGTTGATCAGTTAATATAAATATCAAAAGACCAGAATTTCGGATTTTGTTTGACTGGAACGGGGATAGTCTTGGGAATCAGGCTGCCTGAATAAGTAACCTTGTTTGTCTAGCCATGCCCCAACTCAGTCTAGTCTCTTTCAATCCACTGCACATAAACATAACTGATACGCCTCATTCCTTACTCAATATTTTTACAAGAAATGGATAGTTCATACAGTTTAGTTAGGCCTACAACTAGTGATTTTACCATGCATCATATACTTAACAATTACATTAGCGATAATTATACAAAGCAATAAGTTTAAGCATTTTGTCCATTCCATCCTTTCTATACAGGTTTTGTTGATCCAAAACTGAGTTTGGCAACAATATGAGTGTTTCTTACCATTTGAAAGCAAAACGCAAAACAATCAAGATTTGCTCAAAAAAGGTACATAAAGAAACAACTTTGGAAGCAGGAGAGGAACTGAGCTAATCATATACAAAAAACAAAAAACAAAAAAATAAGAAAACAAAAAAGAAAGAAAAGCCTATTTCAATCTAAGAGTGAGATAACCAATTACAGAAAGGTATAACTTTTACAGTTACAACATGAAAGAAACAAGTGAGATGAATGTCAAGTAAGAACATGGTAAACCCACTAAGACAATAAAACACCTCTGTTTGGTATCAGCACCAATACAATCGATCCAACTAATAATACATACATTAGCCTTATACTCGGCAAAACAGTCTTGGCAGTGATACAAAAATATACAGCAGTCACCCGATTGATACTTCCCACCATGAACTACATTCCTGCTGCATCTCAGTTTAACATTGTAGCCAAAAGATGCAATAGTCCCTTAATAATACTGATTCATATTACATGATACAACATGCTATTGATAAGGCTACCTTATTTGCTACTCCAGTAGTAAATTTTGAAAAGGTATATAACCCTAAAAACTTAATTTTAATTTGTCAAATATGAACTAAATTACTCATTTAAAAAAAAAGTTAAATTTATGATCACTCCTTGATAATAAATTAAATTTAGACACAGTTAGTTTAAGACACAAAGATACATCTAATATTATTTCAAAAGGATCTTAACAGAAGTGATTTTTGTGCAAATGACAAGCATTTACGACTAATAAAAATGATACAAGAATTAACTACACAGTACCCTGGTACAAAATTACTTTTAGTTTCCATACCAAAACAAAATATACAAAAAGACCTTCAAAACAGATATCTTTAAGTCAATCAAAGCACACTGAAGTAAAATTACAAGCAGAGTGGACTAAAGTCTGTCCAGGCAAGTTACAAAAGTATTTCGCAACATTGATTGAAACATTCTATCTCAAAAGGAAAAAAAAGTAACAGATAACAAAAAAACAGGAAGGATTTCTAATATTGCACAAACTCTTATACATAGATATAAATTGTAGATAGATTTAAAAAAAGATTCAACAAAGTAACAATGTCTTTGCCATGGTCAAAATTCACTCACTTTTCACAGGCTTCAAATATTCGTTGTATGTACGTATTGCAAACACTTTAAGATGAATCATAAAAGGAAAATGATTATGGCAGGAGATCTTGAGCTATTTTTCAATGGTGGGAAAAGTATGAACGATAGAGACTAAGGCGCGAGTGAGATGCAGAACCTGGAGGACGTTGGTACCAAGAATAAGCATGTGCTGAAGAAGACAACAACGTTGCATGATTAGCTTGTTGGTATGCATAGAAGTTTTGATGGCGCCATCTTCCTCCCGAATGCAGCTGCAGCACTCTGCTCGAGGGAGCAGGGCCGCGCCAGGCGAACCCTCAGCTATGCTTGGACGGTGTGGGATGGTGCAGGTCAGCTTCTCGATGCATCACCACCTGAAATTGTAACAAAGTCTTAATTGTGGGTAGGCAGGAGAGGAAAAGCCACAGCCAAATATGCAATGAACGCAATGAAATAAAATAATGTGGGTTGAGGGGAAAAAAATATGTGTAGAAAGTAGAGAGACCTTAATAATAAAGTACACTGGTTTCTGCTTTCTATCCTGCAACAATCATCAATGCCCTCAATATTCTAGGTAAAAATACTGTAACTGGTACACTAATTAAAAAAATTGCAGAGGAAAAGAGTAGTTTACTATGTAACATTCTTTTCCAACTAAATTGAAAGTCTTACTAATTCATGTTCTGCAAAAACATTTCAACTCATCTTACTATGTATTACTAGGAACTTTAGTTAATAGATAGATAAAGCAACAGCATATGTTGGGATGATTTGGCAAGCTTGTACTGTACCAACCTGCTGAGGTGGGACAGGCATCATGATGGCACTGCCCTGAGGGTACATGGGATATCCTTGCATGGGCACCGTCACACCCACACCTCTGCAACAAGCCATGCATCCCAACACCCCTCTCTACACCTTAAAGTATTTCATACCACAAACATGCATTTGTGGCTATTGACTTAGTAATAAGAATTTGAATACAAAATAAAACCAAATAACTCCATGTGTAATTGTTTTAAGAAATACTAATCACCAAGCCATATTATTTTCTACTTAAAAATGACAAGCTTAAAATATGGGCCAAGAAACAGAGGTCATACGACATACTTTGTGGTGAGCTCTTAAAAAAAACAAAAAAAAAAAAAAACACACACACACACACAAAAACCTGCCTCTGAATATGGCCAATTATGATGAACCCTGAGCAAGATGTACTCTCTTTGCATTTGCTTACTTTCAATTTCCAGCTAAGTGGTACCCATGCAAACACCCTTCATATCAAGTGTATCCTGTACCAACTCAATTTTCTTAAGTCATGGACATGATTGTATAAAACTTACATATTAGAAGCAAGATAAAATAAACTATGCCTGTACATATATAGTCAGTTCAATTTTAAAAGGCCAATCAAACTATCCCTAATATGCAAACTATGAAAATTCAATTCTGATTACCACCAGCAAGCCATAAAAGAGGATGCTTCATTAGTTAAGCTTGCGTTTAAAAAAATAAAAAAATGCTTGGGCACGGTTTCAGTAGTTGTACCAATTGCCACATTCATACAATTATGAGATAGATAAAAAATACTATGGGCCTAGTGCAGACCATAAAAAGGTGGCATAAGATAGTCTATTTTACAGGCTTTATAGACACATTTTAAAAAGAATTTTGATCTACAAATTCCATTCTTTCTTATCATATTATCTAATCTAATAGCATATCTACATGGCACCATGCCATTCCTGTAAACTACAGAGCTACATAAACCAGAAGTGTGAAACATCTTGCTCAAAGTGCTTTTCAAACACACTGTTAATCACAACCAACCACTGTTAAGAAGCCATATGAATTAGGCAAAAGTTGAGACTGTCTCTCACACTCACCTGCGCCCTTGCTCTGATGATACAGGACTGCTGCGAACAACACTTGGATTCGAGGTGGGTGGTGTTTGACTCATCATGTATGGACTGCCAGATTGAGTGTGCCTAGAAGTTGCACGGTGATATTACTATGTATAATCAAAACAATTAAAAAATGGGATGCAGATATAAAATTTTACCTGATGTTTGGACTGGGTTGAGGCCGTTGGTGAGCTCCATAGCCCTGAAGCATTGAGCTAGACTCTGAAGGTAATCCATTTTCCAGGCTAGGTTGGCCATATGAACTTCGTTGTGAAGTCTGTCTTGATGACTGGCTTGGAGGATTTTGCAATAGAGTTTGAGGATGACCCTGAGGATGCCCTTGAGAGTGACTCTGAGGATGTCCCTGAGGATGTCCTGAAGGATGACCTTGAGAATGTCCTGATGTAAGTCCTTGCGGATGTCCTTGAGGGTGTCCTTGAGAGAGTCCTTGGGGATGTCCCTGGGAATGACTTGGAGGGTGTCCTTGAGAATGACTTGAAGGATGACCCTGCGGGTGTCCTGAAGGATGACCCTGCGGGTGTCCTTGAGAATGACCCTGCTGGTGCAGGTGAGAAAGTGACTGTGGATGACCCTGTGAGTGCTGCAAGTGTTGTGGATGGCCTTGCGAGTGGCTCTGAGAGTGGCTCTGAGTATGGTTTTGCGAGTGACTTGACTGGTGGACGTGGTGGCCAGTTGAGACGGACGCAGCTCCTTGAGAAGGCAGCTGAGGTGAGCCCTGAGCTACATGAGGAGCTCCAACACTTCCAACAGACTGGCTTGGAGGCCCTGTTGGTCCTTGAGAGCCTCCTTGAGGCGTTAAGGGCCCAGGGCTCGGTCCGGCTCCAATACCGTCAGGGAGACCTAGTGGAAAATAAGGAAAGAAGCCTCACAATAAAGCGATAGAAACAAGGACATTCTACTTTTTCTGGCAGAATTAGATATAAAATAAGTTTCACAAAAAGAACAAAAAACTCAGCTATTACAATTCAAAAATTGACCTGGTGTTCCATGTGGTGGTGTTGGTGGCTGAGATTGGGTCAGAGGAATTGCTAAACGAGCGTTCACAGCAAGTAAATGATCACGGCGTGCTAACAGTTTCCTTATATGTTCTTCTAAGCGAGTATTTTCAGACCGTAACTGGTGCAAACATGTTAGCAAAGATGCAACTGGAAAAATTAATCAGGTTTACAAATTAAACTGAGTACACATTTGAAAAATTTAGAAATCTCCATATATTTAAAAAAAAAAAACTAAAAAAAAAAAAAAATTAAAAAAAAACAACTAAAAAAACAAACAAACAACAACACTTACTGTCAAAATGTTGAGCCTGCTCCATCAAGAATTGACTTCCTTGCTCCCACTGTCTTTCCAAAAGTTGATCCAATGTTTGCGGTATCACACCTGAACTAGGTGTACTTCTAGTCTCTGCAGCTCTAGCCTACACAGCGAAAAGAAATAAAAAAATAATAAATCTAAAATATATTTTTTTTAACTATTTTAATTAAAATGAAGAGATCCTTTGCAATACTCACATTAGCCAGGACTTTAGTGGGAAGTTGAGGTCCAACGAGATTGTTTTGGTTTGACAGATTTGGTTCGGAACTGAAGACTGAATGTGCTTCTAGCTCAGCAGTTAGAGTATCTGACATTTTCTGTGCCATTGAGGAGGAAGGGTTTAGTTGATGACCCAGCATGTGTGGGGCATTATTTATAGATGTAACACCATTCTGGAATCTATGAAAAAAACAAAGTGACATCCAAATTATGTGCACATCCAATATTAATATAAAACAGTAATTTGACTGAGGATTATAATTATAACACTGCAATACATACATTTTCTGCTCCTTCTCTTCCTTGGAGCTTTGCACAGTATTATGTCCCCGACGGCCTTTAGGTCTACCTCGATGGGGCACTGGTTCCGGACTACTTGGTGGTGACTCTTTCATAGAAATAGCAGAACTGGAACAAGGGGGCACATCAAATTAATGGAAACTTAGTACAGTTTTAAAATGATTATGCTGTAACAATATGGAAAGAGATCTACAGGCTCAGATGGATTAAAATAAAAGCAAATACAATAACAATATTGCACTGAATAATATTCTCACAATTTATCTACATTGACCAATAAGAAAAATGCTTTCAGGAAATTTTTAAAATTTGCAACTGACAATTGAACAAATAGCAAGTACAGTGTCCCACTCAGGCATTGATCTAGTTTGTTGCAAGAATCATAATTGGGAATAAACATTATCCAAAGGCAAGTAGTAGACATGTACTCCTCCATTCTTTTAGATCCTGCCTCTGGTCAGATTGGCCTCTTAGTGGAATAATGGAATCACACAATACTCTGCTCCAACTCATGCAAATCTGCTCTTTCAAATTCAACTACCTAAATTTATTTATACAGCCTAGAAAACAGAAACTTTGTGAAACCACCATGCTTAACTGTCAACAACACAATGTTAAATCTAACAATACAATTGAAATCTCATGCAGCGCTCAATTTTGAAGTATGATTAGACACCAGAGCTTTGCAATGTCGCCCTCAAGAGACCGACAACGCCAGGCCGCCTCACCCTGTGCAAGCTACTTGCCCAGGTGAGAGGTGACGAGCGAAGATATCGGAGGGGGTCCCCTACTCCCCTCTCACCTAGCAGGCGGCCTGGTGCGGTCGGTCTCGGAAGAAGGTTTTTCAGAACTCTGTTAGACACTAGCTGTGATAAGTAAAAGCATAATTATTTGTAGGTAAATTATCATTTAATGACTGACTAAAATAGGGATAAATAAGTGGCAAAAGTCTCTCCCTTAGAGACTGTACAGTTATAGTCCAACACTGACTACACTATCTATTTTTAAGATCTCAGAAATACTGAACCATACTTTTAAAGTTCTTTTTTGCTTGCTTATTTTCAGCTTAGACAAAATAATTTAAGGAAACTTGAATGAGTTTTGTTTGTTACTTGATTTAATGTTTAAGCTAAACCAGGAGCCATTTGCAAATTTGATCTCCCTCAGTGATGTTAGGTATTGATGACACATCTGAAATTCAGAAGTAGATAAACAACAAAAAGCAGATGTTGAGCACTCATCTAAATATTCATGCATCACATTAATAAGTTATTTAAAAAAATCATCTTCAATCCTAACAAAGTAGTGAAGCACACAACTACAACTAATGCTGATGATGGCATCTTTCAATAAAGATACTCATTCTACTTCACTTTGGCAATTGGTTTTAAAAAAATACTTGTAATCAAATGTTTACAGGTAAATTAATTAAAAAAATTAAAAATGCATCTTTACAAAGCAGCCACCACAGCACAATGCTTATTGCCCACCTAGAGAGGTCGTCAGGGCCTGGCTTTGTATCAAGAGGTGAAGAAGTAATAGTAGGGGGCGTTTGTGTAGGAACAGGAGGAGTTGGAGGGGGGTTGGATGTACTACTTGGTCGTCCACGTCTCCCAAGCATGGGAGAATGTGATAAAGAAGTTGAAGAAACAGGAGATAGAATGGGGGCTGGCGTTATGGAAGGAGAAACAGAAATTGGAGATGGATTCATGGAAAAAGACGAGGTTGATAATATGGGAGCAGAAAGTAAAGGCAGGGGGGAAGGACTCGGCAGTGGAGTAGAAACAGGAGGAGTCACAGATGAGGTTGGTGGAGAGGGTGTTGTAGGAGTTGCAGGACTGGGAGAGGGTGTAGGATTGGAAGGTACTGATGAGGAAGCCCCTACTTGATGCTGTCCACCTCGCTTAAGCTTGCGCTTATCCTGCTTCTCCACCCTCTCTGGTTTTTCACCAGAAAATGACCTGTGCAGGAATGTAGTAAATATAAGAACCAAATGCCACTATTAAACAATTACTCTGACTCTTTTCTGAAAATTAAATTTTATCCTTCTTTTGTTAAAGTTAAAAGTAACCAAAATATAGAAAATGTAACACAATACACACATCAAATCAGTAATTAATTGACAACCACACGGGGATGACACTGTCAATAAAATCAATAACAACAGATATACTAAATATTAAGTTAAACTTCCTTGGAGATTATCCTGTAAAAATTGCCAGAGTTGAAAATTAGTTATGGAAGAGTGTGTGAAGCTTCTTATCACAGCTGCTCAGAGAACAAAGGAAACCTGTAACCTAAACAGCAATATGGTCTCCCTTCTTTTTTTTAAGGGAGAAAAGGCTTAAAAATTTAAGGACGAGTATCTACATAATACAAAAATACAATGAAGAAAAACTGGACTTTATTCTCTAAGGGTACAGGAAACACCTCCAGCAAACCTCATTTGCCTAGCACATTCACACTAGATTATATATTAGCTACTTTATTCTTGCTACAACATTTGCCAGGTTGTAGTGTGCTCGCTGAAATTACTTTTATTTCAAATTATAAGGTTACATTCATCTTACCTTGATCTTTTCCCCAAATTTTCTGAGGCAGGAAGCTTGTTTGAACTGTTGCCACTACTGCTTGATATTTGAGATGGGTGGGGATCCGCAGGTATTGCTGAAGGTACAATAGGTGTTGAAGATGAATTGCTCATAGCTTGGTTTATGGCACTTGACACCTGTTGACTCGCTGTATTTGGTAAAGAAACAGCGGCTGTGAGAGGCACTGACACAACAATACTGTTGGCAGATGATGACACAGACGGACCCATGGGGCCTGGTGATGAGACACTGTTTTGAGGTCCCTGAAACAATACAAAAAAAACCATTAAGAACTGATAAGTTGGTAACAGCCATAACTTCTACACAAACTCACACACAAACAAACAAACAACCTTGTACATCATTCACTTTCACATAAGGTATTGGCAGATTTTAATTATAATAATTTGGGGAAAGTTAACGATTTAGTAGGACAAGAAGGCTATGCACTTGCAACAAAGACCAGGACCCAAATGTATTGGAGTTGTAACACAAGACCTTCACTTTCTCTCATTGAAGGAGAAATTAGAAACACTCAATTAAAACAAGAGTAATACAACTTGAAGGAAAGCTTTATGAATAAAACCGTGTTGTGTGAAATATAAGAGAAATGTGATGAGCAGTTAAAAAATGGAAAATAAAGGTAACCAAAACCAAAATATAGGAAAAAGAAACCAACAAAAACAACAACAGAGCAATATGAGATGCTAGGAGGGGCAGAACTGTAGCAATTCAACCGTTAAGAGCAATGTAACAAGCTTAACAACATTTTCAAGACTCAATGAGTGGTAGTAGACAGGAAGAAAAGATTGTCATCTTTTATGAAAGAATTGTGTGCAATCTAATGCAGCAGTGTAAAAAGCAAATCTAAACCAGGAACACAACAACAACCTAATAAAAAGTTCAAATTTCAAATTCAGCTCAGTCGACAAAATTACAAAGTTGTAAGAGAAGAAAACATAATTGTTTTGGAGAGAAATACGAGGGGAAAGCCATTCAAAATAGTGTATAGTGTATTTGGAAGGTAAAATATCTTGATGTCCATATACTTCCATACAAGTATTGGGTCAAACATTGAAAGCAACCCATGACTCAAAAGTCATAGTTAGGCAGAAAAATACTACATACCTTAGTACTGGATTCTGAGTTGGATTGGTTAGAACCAAGTGTGTTGAGATTTGGTTCCGCAACAATTTTCAGTTTCTTGACACCTTTTTCAACAGCATCAGGGCTGCCTGAATGACAAGTTTCATCTATGTCCATTTTAGTAACAGATGCACTGGTATTGGAAGGTGCTGAGGTAGGTGATGGAGCTGCTGGAGCAGAACTACTTCCTAAAGCATCTTTTTCTTTCTCTTTGGTGTCTTTGTCCTGTGAAGGTGTACTTGATGGTGGAGTTCGGACGCCTCCAGCATTACGACGTTTTTTGGTGTTTGAAGAACCACTACTACCAGTTGCCGCTTTAGACCCATCCGCACCAAAAACACTTTCACTTGGTGTCACCACCTGGAAAAGCCGTTGTTGTGTACTAACGAAACAACAGCCATCTATTCCACTACAGCTTTGATTTCCATGCATGCACTATCGCAAGGACTTAACAACAGGTTTAGGGTACGATTAGTTTCTGCTGATAAAATGAAAGAAACTGTATGGGGGCGCAAATACAGCAGTACCAAATATGGAATCAATACATGTTCAAAAAGAATTTTCTGAGAGCAACTTGTTTGGGAAGAGGATGGTCATTTTGTAGTGTAGGCAAATTGTTGAATGAATGATTGATTGATACCCAGAGCTGGTAAATGATCAGTTGCAATTGATTGATTGATTGGACCAATGGGGGAGGGAGTGTGGTCAATAATGCCAATGCCAAGTGGTAATCCTGCTGGCCCAGGCTGATGAATTTAGTGTATAAAAATCCAACTCTAACAACTAAGTTTAAACATTGTTTATAGCCTCTCTCATACGAAAATATGGGGGATTTCTGAATCTACAGTAATTAGGGACTGGTCCCTACAAAAAATTGTCAGATGCCTGTAAGGAAATTAAAGAAGGAGTAAGGTTGCACTTACCGTCTCAACAAAATTAGATGTAGTGAATTTAGCAGAGGTTGTTGAAGCAGTACTACTTATATTACTATTTGCTACATCTTTTGAATCCTTTTTGTCCTTATCTTTATCTTTTTCACTTTCTTTTCCTTTCTCCTCCTTCTTGTCTTTATCTTTACTGTCTTTAATGACAGAACTAGAGCTAGACGGAGGGGGTAAGAGCTCTTTGGTGGCAGTCCCATTGGAACCTAGGATATCAATTAGTTTAGTCTCCTGGCATACTGAAAATTACAAGATGGTGACAGGTTTTTTCTATCTTACCAGCAGGTGTGCTTGCTCTGCTATGATCACCACTCTCACTGCCAGGACTAGGGCTAGCAGCTCCTTGCTTATTTAGGTTAGGACTAGGTGTGGCGTTCCTTCCGCGCCCACCTCCTTTACCACCCTGGCTCTTACGCTTCCGACCACCTTCTTCCCTTTCCTCAGGGGAATCATTAGGTACAGGCTTGTATGGAGGGACCTGCTTAACATTTCCTCCCTTTTTCTGCAATCAAAGCAAGATGGATTAGAAAGAGGCTATGAGAGGGAATTTTATAATAGCATGGCACAGAAGATGCAGCAACACCACTTACCAACTTAGAATAATGATGTTGGCAATAACCACAATATTTCACATTATCCATGTAATTCCCTGCTTCTTCACATAAAAGTCCTAGTCCTTGAGCACATGTCACATGGAATTGCATCTTGCACCCAGGCTTATTGCAATTCATACAGGCTCCTTGAACCGCTCTCGATCCCTTACCTTGGGTGTCACATATATAACAAGTCTACAACACAAAATTTGGAGAAAAAAAATAAAATTTAGAAAGCAATCTGATGACCCATATGATACAATCTTAATCTGGTGTAGGCAACCTAATTCACTAGAGCCAAACTAGTGCCATTTAGGGATATAGAAAAACCTCCCAACTTCCTCTCTAATCATCATTCTAGTTCAGGACAGTTGAAAAATTTTTTTCAACAAAGGTCACCTAGTATAGCAATCACGTAAGTGCAATGATTATACCTTGTTGTAACGTTCAGAAGGCACCAAAGACAGAATGATTGGTTCCATTGTAGACACATTTCCAAATCGCACCTCTGGAATATATAACGCGCACACTACATGTGCCCACGCTTGATTGTCAGTTCTCTTCAATGCACCATCTTTAATAGGACATAATTCACATCTCTGCAAAATAATGAAAAGTTCAACACAGTTAAATAATCATCACATATTTAATTAAAATGTAAATCAAGCTCCGTAAATACCTACCACTCTTACAGCCCTTTCCTGAGATTCACATTTCCGGCAAAACCAAGGTCCAGTGGGTACAGTAACAATACCATAGCAAGCTGAAAAAGTAAAAATATGAAAGAAAAAATCCAATATAATACTCGAAGTTTGAGCGAAAGGCTTCATAACATTTCTCTCTTGTAGAACGATGAGATGACTCAATGAATGGATAAATAACCAAGAGACAACAGAACAAATGAAGAATCAAAGTCTAAACAGCACTCAAACTCAGGGGATAACTATACATTTTTAGTGTAGAGTGACTGATAGAAATTTCAAAAGGGAAATAAATCACAAGTCAATCGTTAAAAATCAGGGACGAGGAGAAGCACAAGTAACAAATATTGATACTTGCTTTGTTTGTAAACATTGAGCGGCAGGCCTAACCTCCGAAGCAGAAGACAAATCAATGGAACTTTCCGTCACATCCAGTCTTTATGACTCGAAAACTCGGGAAACTGATTTACATGAATTACGAAACTACACTGTCAATGGCCCTGGCGACAGCAAAGAGCTACAGAAGAACTATCAGAGGACAACCACTACAGTTGGACAACTCACCTTGGTGAACGGCGACAGTGCATCCTTGACCGTCACAGTATACAAGGGGGTTCTCTGCCCAGCCCCTCTCGTCCGAGCAAACACAGCACCCGCCGACCATTTCCTTCATATCCTTCCGCAATATGAGTAACTCCTCCAGCCACGAATATCAACTCAGCTGAGTGCCAAGTCAAGATGAGTGCACATCATACCCCATGCACATCATCAAAGCGCACGATCGAAATCACACGAGCCCGCTCAAAACATCTCGCGTGGAGATTGTGGGTCCACTCAAACGCATCACGTAGCTTCACGATCGCATTATGAGTCCACTTGATTGAGAAAGAAGCATAAGACCGTAAATGTAGGTGGTTTCGCTCTGCCGCTATTTCGGAGCACTTGCAGTCACCATTTTCTTCGTTTACACCACGGCGCACGGGTGGGGGCGGGGCGGGGTGTGGCGGAGGGGAAACTAAGATGGCGTCCAGGCTGATCTAGGGTTCTGAGAATCGGAGTATCGTCCACAGGATTCGTTTCCTGCCGCCTGCCGGCTGAATGAATGGCTTAAGAAAGGGAAAGGACGGGCATCATTAAAACCACATTTCTAGCGTATCTAATACGCATTTACGTGCATGCAATTTACATTTCAAACTAAACACGCCAAAAATGCGGGGCCTTTAAAAGCACATTTTGATGTGCATTCCCGCACTGGCACCGCTTTACCCGCGCTATTCGAAACAAAGCCTGCCAGCAGAGACCCAGAGACCGACAGCCGACTCTCATGCGCTGTATATCTAAGGAAAACTTTAGACCAGCAGTCGTGAACCTAGATCCCAACTTGTCCGATTGGCCCTTCAGACTGGTTCTGCAGGGCGTTTTGTCGTAAGTTACCTACTCCTTCTCGCCCATGGCGCTGTGCGACAGGGACAAGGGACTGCGTAGTAGCGTAGTAGTACGAAAGCGCTTTACGGGATCAGCCAGCAGGGTCTTCCTCGTCTTCCCCGTAAGGAGAGGAGAGGGGCGGGGCGGGGGGGGGGGGGGTCCCAGTAGCGTTGTGGGTGTAATCACTACAGTAAGTTCCATTCGTTTCAATTTGAAATGTGTTTGCTCATCAGCGGTGCACTCTACAAGTCTGCCAGTGCGGCTGAGCAGGCCGACTCAACAGTTAGTTCTCGTGACGATATTCCTCGGATGGCTTATCTCACGGGTCGCCAGTGTGGGTCACCAGGGTCACCAGGGTCACCCACTGCTCGGCGTGCGCCGGGCGTGCGCCCCTCCCTGCAGCGCTGCAACCCCTTCGCATGCGCCCGTGGCCTCCTTGCAGTAGTAACCCCCC